GGGGATCGAACCGCGGTCCCTGTGCTTTGCCAAGCTTGTTCCAAGTAGGTGCTTTAGACCACTGAGCCATCTCTCCAGCCCCATATGTTCATATTTTAATACTTTTGTAAACAATGTGTTTTCTTTTTGTCACCATGAAGGGGAAGTGCAGGTCTAACAGACACTGGGTGGGCTACCAAGAGTCAGGACATCCCATGATGAATATATATATTACGTTTGGCAAACATACTAATAAAAAAAGCCAGGCATGGTAGCCCACGCCTATAATCCCAGCTCAGAAGGGTAAGACTACTGAAAATCCAAAAAAGCCTGGACTACAAAGTGAGTTCAACAGTGAGTATAGACAACATAGCAGGCTGGCTAAAAAGAAAAAAAGGCAAGGTCTGACCTACATCCACACAAGTGGATCTCAGAATAATGTTGAAGACAAGAAGACAGCACCGCTGGGGGCTCTAACTTGGGCTACCTTTTATAAAGCATAAAAACAGATTTCCCGATACATTGTTTTGATGTATATTTGTGTAAATAAGAAAACTTACAAATTCAAGAGAATTATAAACAATCATTCAGGGCCGGCCAAATAGCTCAGCAGATTAATAAATGAACAGAATCACTGGCATTGAGAGAAGTGGACAAGGAAGAAAGGCACACAAACTAGCCGTGTTCTTCTTTGGATGACAGACTGCAGGTATTTACTATTTTGGTTTTTGACTTTTTTTTTGCAGTATGAGGGCTTGAACACAGGACCTTGCATATGAGAGGCAAGTAGTGTATCCCAACAATTCACCCTCCTCCCAGTTCTTTTTTTTTTTTTTTTTTTTTTAATTTTAGGAAAGGGTCTACAGGGTATTCAGGGTCTCACTACTAGATCAGATTCTCAGTGATCCACCTATTTACAGCCTCCCAAGAGCTGTGAATACAGGGAGGCACCACTACGCCCAGTCTCAGTTGCCGTGCCCTGGGGACAGGGCCAGCACTGCAAGCCCAGGCCTGGGAGTCAAACCCCTGGCCCCTGAACCTGCTTGCAGACCTAAAGATTAAAGATTGGCTGAGCAATTTGACCAACCAGAGAGTTCTATTATTAAATTTTTTTGTTTTGGTTGGTTGAGAGAATCTCTGGCTGGCCTCACACTCGCTTAAACTCATGATCTTCCTGTCTCAGGCTCTAGAGTGCCGGAATTATAAGCACATGCCTCCTGGCCTGGTTCCTACTATTTTATTTTTTTTGTACAGGGGATAGAACTCAAAACCTTGTGCTTGCCAAGCAGGTGCTTATGCTGCCGAGCTATATCCCTGGCCTCCTACTACTTTAATAATATAACATATGTATTCTTTTGGTGGTCATTGTTTTGAGACAGGGTCTATCCTGTCAAATATTGCATTCAAAGATAAAAGGCCACATCCTTACAGACACACACACAGAGCTACTCACTGACATACACTAAGACACACGAACACATCAGTTTCGTGGACTCACACAGGTCTACCCATAACCTGGGATAGTCACTCTCCAAGACACACGGAGAAACCGAGAAACCTTCACATATTAAGTTACAAGCTGACCCACACATTCACTTATACACCTTTCTACGAGGCCCTGACCCAGAAGGAGCTGCTATGGGGAGCTAAACACTAGGAGGACTGCAGGTATTTACAGGTCACTGGATTGGTGGGTTTCCCAAAGCGCACCCCTAATCCCAGGCTCCCCAGGCACTCACCTGATTCCCGAGAGACCACTCTCCGTGGGACCAGTTTCTTGACCTAGTCAGAAAAGCAGTATTAGACTCCAAAGAGGGGTTTCCCACATGTTTAAGTCCACCCTTATTTAGGGGTGAGGATCCTAAGGAGTGCCGTATCTGTAGGCTGCTTTTTGAGCATCCCATGCCCTTCTATCTGTGCCCATTGAGGTTCAGGACTCCCAACCTTGTCCCAGGTAGCTTGCCACCGAAGTGTCCAGTTCTGTACTCACTGGGGGTGGTGGGAGTACAAAGTTGTCTGGAAAAACACCTCTTTTGCCTTGACATTCTCCTTCCCACCAGCCTTTATCCTCTGTGTTCTGGGAGAGAAACACACTGGTGGGGAGCTGAGCTAGGCACCCCAAGCTCCTCTCCTGGTCCCACCCTCTCCTTCCCAGAGCCTTCCCCCATCCATTCCTCACACCTTTCGCAGTACTTTCACCTCATCCCCCCTCTTCAGTGGCAACTCATCAGGGGCCTCCGGCTGGTAGTCAAACAGGGCCCTGTAGGTCTCTGGGTAGGAGACTGGGAGAAGGTCAGATTACTAGGGCCAGCTTTCCCCCTCCCTCAGGACTCTCTTCCTCCCTCAGCCTGGCTTGGAAGTAGGGGGGACCTCTTTGGGTGGATGCTTACAAGTCTGCAGGTAGTCTGGAGGCCTCTCAGAGGTCAAGCTGCCCAGCTAGTGGGGGTAAAGAGGACAAAAAGATGCCTTCTACCAGCCCAAGAGAAACTCACTACCTCTGTGCCCACTCAGACCCAGTTTACCTTAGGAGGCTGTTGAGGACCAGGGTTGATGGAAGGCAGGTCTGTATTACCAAGACCTGGATGGGAAGAGTGAGGTTAGTAGGGCACTAATTCACAGATCATGGGAGGGCAGCAAAGGGGGTCACATGGTCAGGATGTGTGAGTCACAGGTTCATGCCACCAGGAGAATCACTGGAGAGTGCAGTGTGGTCCCAAGTTCCAGGGTTCATGTCTCACTTGGGGGCCCACTGTCCAGCAACTCCACAAAGTTGGATGGGAAGGCTCCCAGCTGCCCGTTCTTCTTTCCCAGCCACCAGCCGTCCTCAATCTAGGGAGGGGGAGGACGCAGGGATATCTGGTTCCACTCTAGGGGTGTCTACAAACTCTACACTCTCAGTTCTGTCGAGAACCTACTTTCTTGTCCTTCACTCTTCCGTCTCCGCAACCCTAACTCTTCTCATCTTTGCCTCCTTTGCTTTACCCAATACCCTTCCGCAAGGCCTCTCACTCTCATCCCCTCACCTCCTTTATCACTTCTACAATCTCCCCAGCTTGCAGCTTCAGCTCGTCCACCTGCTCCGGGCTGTAGCTGAAGTTCACTTTGCACCATCTTTGCGGGCCCCGAGATTTGGAGGGGTGCCCTGGGTTGGACAAGAGTAAGACTCAGCCGGGGAGCCTGGGTCCGCTGAGCTGGAGGAGGGGCTAGGCACGAGCACGCCCCGTTGCATCCAAGGCCCCGCCCTAGGGCGGAGCATTGTCCCCTGAGCCAATCACAGGCCGCAAGTCGGCTAGTGGCCCCTCCCACACCCCCGCGGTCCCGGAGCCCCGCGGCCTACGCGCGCCCCCTAGCCTGCCGGCCAGCGGCTGGGTCGCTCACGTAGGCGGCGTGTGCAGCGTGGTCTCAGTGCTTCCCCCGCAACTCGTAGGACTTCTGGAATCTCCTGGGAATAAAGGTCTTGCTAGGTCCTCTCAGCTCCAAAGCCCAGAACCCCCAAACCCCAGCCTGCTCCCTGCCCGCCCTCACCTGCACCAAGCGCTTGGGGAAAAGGCCAGAGCGGCCCCCGAGCTCTCCACGCAGCCAGCCCCTCGCGGGCCCCTGGCGCACCTGCCGGACCACGTCCCCGGGCGCCAGGCTCAGCTCGTCCTGCTTCTGGGCGCGGTATCTGGCCACGGCCAGGACCTCTGCGGGCGGAGGACCGGGCGGGGTCGCGGCTCAGAAAGGGCCAGTCGGAGTGGGCAGACTGACCCGAGCGGAAGCGCTCCCAGGCGCCTCCCGGGCCCAGTGCAGACGTCGGCCGTGATGTGATGCAGGTTTTTACCGTTCCAGAGAGCACAAAGGAGCCACCCCAGACCCTCCGCACATACCCATGACTTCCGGGGTCCTTCCAGAGCCTGGCCTGTCCCGCTGGCGACTGAGTACAGTCTTTGGCTCGGGAGGGTGCGACAGTCCGCGGGGCGGAGGAGGCGGAGACGCCAGCCAAAGGTCGGGCTCCAGGTGCTGAGAGTGGGCGTGGGCGAGGGGGCGGCCCGGCTCAGCAGGTTTGGCCCTATCCTGGCGGTAAAGACCCCAGAACCTCTGGCTTGTGCTGGGGTGTCAGCTTCCTCATAGGCTCTTTCTAGGCGCACAGCCTCTCCCTTCCGCCTAGGCAGGCCCACCATCTTGGCTCGAAAAGCTTTTAGCTTCAGGGCAAGAGGTGGGGAAAAACATGCAAGGGTGGGGCCCTCAGCTGGCTGCAAACACTCAAACTAAGGCCTCCACCATAAAGTTGGCAGCTCCTGTTCCTGAGAAGGTACTGCTTGTATACGTCAAACCTCCACCTCCCTGAAATGAGCACCTCACCTCTTGCCTTCTCTTGAGAGAACCCTATTTAGGGGCCGTGTTGGGTTTCAGAAAACTCCGTGAAAGAAGGCACGAAGAACTTTGGGCTCGGACCGAGACAAATTTGATTAGGACCCACTAAAAACCCATTGGACTATCACTTCTTTCCAGCTGATCTTTTCGCTCACTGCACTGCGAAGGCCGAGCCTGTTAGCCACAGCCCTTCTTCCCTGCTAACCCACCGAGAAGGAAGCCGAAGTTCTTGTTCACGACACCACACTATAGTGAAAATACTCTGGTTTCTCTGGGGCTGTCCAAGGCACAGGATGAAGTAGGAATGCGTAGATAAAATGCTTGTGCTGTTGCAGGCACAGCCTGGAGGGGATGAGCAGCAGCTGGCCCCGCCCCCAAGGCATTTTCTCTTCGGGCTTCCTGAAACTGCTGTGGGCGGTTACCTACCGCCGTCTCAAGGGGCACATACTCAGGGTTAACAATGAACACAGCCCACATACACCCGCCACTTCATTTATTGTTTTTATTTGCAGGAGGAGTTGAAACAAATTTTGTGTTTTTCTTTTTCCCCTAAACATGAATCATT